TAGATAATTATCTAAGATGCAACAAAAGACTTTCATAGGTTGTTGACTTAAGTACATTGTATAAGCTGTCAATAGTAAAATAATGTTATTGTTTCTGAATTCAGTATCCAAATATTGTCTTTTAAACAGCAACTTAAATACATTTATGTTAATGTCAGAACTATTTCTTTTATATCAGTTTTTAGATTATTGTTTATTAATTGGCAAAAGCCAGACAGTTTGAAGTCTGTGAGTATTCAAAAATAGTCTAAGGAGGTTGTTTATACCATGGTCAGTGAAAGTTTTGGAAAGCATGTCAATGGCATGATGATATATTTCCTTTTATAGTCATGTACAATAAAGTAGGAAATAATTGTATGTTGTTGTTTTTTGTTGTAGATACGAGAAGATTTCCGTAGTGCACTCTTCAACCTTGCACTGCTCTTATCAGATTCTCAACGTCCACTTGAAGCTGTGCCTTTTCTTAAACAGTTACTTAAGGTAAGAACAACATTACAAGTATTTGACACAGGAATTCCAATTAGTTATTGGAAATGTAATATAATTTAATGTTTTTAGTTAGAACATAGTGATCATATCTCTCATGGATTTAATAATTACATGAATCAAGCTTTGTGTGATAATACTATTGAAATTCTATATATATTAAGTGCAAGAAATAATTACTTTGAAGTATAAAGAAAGTTATTCTGGAAAAATGCTCCAAAACCTTACCCAATAAATACATATTACCTTAGTACTGCTGTCTTAAATTATTTGAACATAAATGTAGGATGTGTTTTGATCCCTTCAGGTTAGAAGAAAGTACATTTTCATACCTCAGCACATATTTACTTGTAATATTTATTAATAAACACATAATTAATTTATTATTGCTCTATGTGCTATTGAAAATATCAGTTGGATCTTAATTGTGTTAAGACATTGCAATATCATGGATTCACATTTGTGTACAATGTTGAAAAGATCTTGTAACCAAGCAAAAGATATAGTTTAAATGTGTTTTCACCTCAGCAGGTGTAAACAATGCATCTGTACGTGTTAGTTCTGCATAAAAATAAATATTTTACTTATGTAGATCTGAGGTACCGTAAATTCATGCTATAATGTTACTTATTTGTAATCATTACACTAAATAATTTTTAGAATTAATGTGAAAAAAATATTAACATAAATATATAGAAAAACAAACGAAGACATTGAAGTTTTGATCTTATTATGTTGCATCTTGTATTTTCTTAGTGTGTTAGGTATGTATACGTATAATAAAAGTGAATTTAAAACTTTACTATTTCAGCACCATCCTGACCATGTAAAGGGATTGATCCTTTTAGGTGACATTTACATCAATCACATGAAAGATCTAGAGGCAGCAGAGAAGGTAAGATTTTGCTATTAAACTGATAACCTTTATGTGTACTGAACAAAAATTCTTATTCATCTGTGGTTTTGATACCCATGGCGGGCAGAGCACAGATAGCCCATTTTGTAGCTTTGTGCTTAATTCCAAACAAACAATCTCATGTCATAAACATATAATATATCATTCTTTTTTTCTGTTTTTGTCATCTTTTTTTAAGTTTACTCATTTTTTTAAATGAAATATACAAACAAACAAGTATGTTATGATAGTTTTGATTCTGTGGTTTATGAACATGGACATTTTCTCCATTTATGACTTAATAGTAACCAAAAAACACTACTTTGTAATTATGTATAATCAAGTATATCCAATGGAATTTTGTAACTGACCTTAATAAGTTAAATATCAAGCTCGTGTGAGAGTTAAAAACACATTTAAAAGTCCATGGGCCATTTATTTGGATACATATCAAACGATTGAACAATATTAATGTTAGTTTTACCAGATTTCCAGAATGAAAGATTTAGACTTTTTTTTTCTATACTAAGTGATGCTGTAACAGCTATTAAACAGTTTAAATTACAAAACATATTTTTTACCAGTTGCTAAATAACTGACATTTATTGCTTCATGTTTTAAAACTGTAGACAAATAAAATTAGTTAAAAGCTTGTCTAGTTAAAAATATAATGAATTCAATTTTTAAAAATGTGCCAAAGTTATATTGAACGTAGTCGCATGAAAAATCTTGCTTCTTCATGTTTTTTCTCCATGACTAGACAGGTCTTCAAATTTCAATTCTTGCAGTTGCCTAATGACAAGTTAGGTTAAGAAAACACAGTAGAGAGGGAGGGAGGGAGGGAACACTGAACCATGTGATCTAACTTTGTCAAGTGATTCTCCAACTAAAATTTCAAAGAGCTGTGTATAATGATAAACCATGCATGCCAAATTCACACTGTGGTACAGAAAAGTTAAGACAATTTAATACTTTTACTGTCTCTGATCGAGACAAAAATATTAATACTAAAAAACAAGCATGGCCCCTCGAACTTGGATTCCTGTACGTGGTGAGGGGACCTTCCAGGGAAGGTTCTGTATTTTCAGTTACTTTCTCTGGAAT